CTTTCCCAGCAAAAAACTTCAGTAAATAATGGAATCCTCTAAAGTAATCAATGGAGAGCGATTCGAGAAGAAATGTGCCAAATACAAATCATATTGGGCTATCAACTTCCTCCACAGACAGCATACAGTCACAAAATCACAAATCTCTAAAAACAATGAAATGATAAAAAATGCTCGAGGGAAGCAATTGAACAGAACTATAGAGCCCTTGTTTGTCATTCCTAAACAATCTTGAGAAAATTCCTAACACCAGGCTGATGATTTATGCTTCTGGATCATTTATTTAGAGATTGGACTTGTCAAGATCGTCAAAGTAAGAATGCTCCATAGCTTTCTTTGCTGAAATCCGTTTTGATGGTTCATAATGCAACATTTCCTGTAATATCGAAATTTTTCGAGAGGTTAAATAGTGAATGTCAGTTAAGCAAGCCAAGGTGTATGCAATACTCACTGATAACAGGCTTCGCCCAGCTTCATCCAGCCCGGGGACTGCTGATGAAAGTGGCTTAGGACTCCATTGTGGGTATTCATGCCAGTTCACTAACTTGCTCACTCCAGGCCAAACTTCTTCATTAGGAGTTCCCAACAATCTGCTTTGAAATAAACATTAGGAAAAAGCACAAATTGAACGGTCCTGGTTGGAAATTCGAGTCATAATTTGGCCAAACCTGAAAATATGCAGCAGCTGTTGAAGCTCAGAGTCTCCGGGGAAGAGAGCTTGCTTTGTGACTAGTTCGGCTGCGATTACAGTCCAAGCTTAGCATTATTGAATAAATCTGCAATTAATGAAGCAAAGATAACAAGGAACTTACCAAATATACAGGCAACAGACCACATATCCACTGCAGTAGAATAATGTGTAGCTCCTAAAAGGACCTCAGGAGCTCTGTACCAGAGGGTCAGTATCTGAAAAAACAAAATGCATATAACTTAAAACTTCTTGATAAATGGCAAGAAGTTAATTGCATAGGATTCCCGAAAAAATTCTATACATTACCTCATGAGTATACTTCTTGATTGGTAAGGTAAAAGCTCTGGCCAGTCCAAGGTCTGCGATTTTAAGCATCATCGTCTTAGGATCCATCAAAAGATTGTGAGGCTTAAGATCCCTGAATCATCAAGCAAGGTTTATAGCTATGAAATGGAGGATATATATAAGAGTAAAAAAAACCAAGGATTTTTACCTGTGTAACACACCGTGGCCATGGCAGAAAGCAACACCCTTGCATAGCTGATACATCAAGCTCTGCAACGCAAAAATAAAAAATAAAATCTAAGATACAGAATGCATAAACTTGCATCAAGAATAGCAATAAACTATGCTATACCTTCACAATTTTAGTCGGGATGTTTTCCCCAGTGTGACGGAAGCTGCGAATGTATTTCTTGAGATCAGTGTCCATGTACTCAAACACCAAGTAAAGAACTGTCTTGCCTTCCTTATTCTGGCCTTGTTTCACATCCATCAATCTGTAAATTGTAGTTTACAGAGAACATCGTAAACTAGGGAAAAATATAAGAAACCAGTGGCTATATTTGGATCAATTAGATTCTACACTCACAAAATCTGATTAAAGATTAATTTAAGAAAAGGCCAATGACAGTTTTCTGATGTCCAATAATAACAATTAACTAGTTGATTGCTACATAAAAACCTTGAAATTGGTACAGATATTTATGTCTGAACTTTATAGCAGATTGTTTGGGAAACTCTAAAATAGTTTATTACTGGAAACTCATATCCAAATCAAAATTAAACAAAAATCAAGAAATTAATGGGCAGGATTCAAGGGCTCAATAAAAATGAAAAAGAAAACGAACCCAGAAAAACTTCATAATCATCCAATCCAAAAATTTGTAGAGCACCCAGAAAATCAACAATTTAAAGAATTTCGGAAACAAATTTTTTTAAATAAAGAGAATTAAAAGAAATTTCAAGAAAACCCATTAAAAAACATCTATTATTGAGTAAATTATCAACCTGACGACATGGGGGTCTCTTGAGAGCATACGCAACAAGGACACCTCGCGAAGAGTGGTAGGGGGTACACCTTCTTCGTCTTCGTGGAGACGGGTTTTCTTAAGGGCCACAATCTTGCCAGTTGCCTTTTCCCTGGCTCTGTACACTTTACCATACGTTCCCTCTCCCACTTTCTCCAGTTTCTCAAATGCCTCCATTGCAGACTTGGGTTTCTCGTCCATCATTTTTCCCTCTTCTCTTTGTTACTCTGTCTGTGTGAAAAAGACGGATCAAGATTTGAAGATAACAAATTTTAGGTTTCTTATCTGTTGGGTTAAATATTGGCGTTGAGGATTTCTGCACTCGTGCGCAACGGTAACATTTTTTTGAAATTCAAAATGTTAGGCGCGACGTGTGAAATTCCGTAATTAACCTCTTCGATTTGCATAAGGAAACAGAGGGTACATGAAGCATTAAAAACTAGAATGTAAAAATGTTATTAAGCATGTGTTTGGCCCCCATTATTCCTCATTACATTAAATTAAATTTTTCTCTCTCCTACTTTTAACCACACAATTTTCAATAAAATAATATTACACGTAACTCAAAAACTTTTCAACCACTCATTTTTAAAAAAAATACTATTCATCTCATTATAATTTATCTATAATGGGGCTCAAACGGGGGCTAATTTACATAAAAAGAGATATTTTGTCTCTTCTTTCATCCGTCCCAAATTATAGACCACTTTCCATATTGAAATTATAGATATTTTTTAATTTTCTAAGAGTATTTTCAATAGACTCTTTAAACATAAGATATTCTCTTATTGAAAGAGTCAACGATCAACTCTTAAAATTGTGTTTCAAGACTATAATTTAGAAAGTAAATTTGGAGAGTCAAACTTACTATTTATAATTAAGTGCATTTAAAATATTCAATTTTAAACAGTAAAAATTAATATAATAATTTGTAAGAAAGCCATTGAAAATTAAATATAAGAAAAAATAATAAATATTTTTTGGGAGGAGTAAAATTAAGTGATAAACATAAAGAACCTGTTGAAGTCCCTTAAAAGTTTTATTCTCTAAATTGTATAATATACTTTCTTAAAAATAGAAAGATTCTTGTTGATGCTTTAATATGTCCCTATACAATATACCTTGTTACCAACAAATATAAACTATTTATATTTAAACAATTATTTAATGTAGGGGTATATTAGAAAAAAAAAATTAAATTTTCTTAATATGCATGAAAATAGAAACAAACTTATTTTTGTGAGACTGAGTAGTATGTTTCAATTGGCGGATATATATGTGATTAAAAAGTATAATAACCTATCAGTTTTTATATATTGTTTAGAACACCAAAATCAAAATAAAAAAATTAATGAAAATTGTTTCAGAAAAAGTAATGTGTATGAGAAGTGTTATCTAGCACCTTGCAAAGTTCAATTTTCTGAATAATTGAAGGGTGAACTTGAAAAAAGCCTAGTATGCAATGGTTGGATCCGATGCATTTATCGAAGTTGAAGAAGCCTCAAATTATTTAAATATATTGCTCTATTCACGAGGAAAAAAAAAATGCTAAAATGAGATTTTTAGTTGGACCAAACAAGGCCTTAACATTGGCAACAAAAAAAATTCTATGGACCTAGTAGATTTAAGATAGAAATAGGTAAATAGCTACATAAAGAGGTATGATGTTCAATTTTCAACCATCTAAATTGCTTTAAACATATGTATAGGCATCTCGTATGGCCAACATAAGATAAATTGCTAGCATTCGTAAGATAATTTTGCTAGTCTTCCAAATCAGGATAGGATGAGATAAGTCAACACAGAACATACCAAAAATCGACTCACAAATATTGGACCCAAAGTCTACGAGGCCTTTTGATGGCTTGGTATACGGATTTTTCCAAATATTTGATTTCAAAATTGTGGTTTTCTACACCTAGGTTTCACACGAGACTAATGTTATTTATCATTATGATGATAGAACACAAGTTATGTGACAGTTTATGTGGAATAATGAAATTGAGCAGTTTAATTATTCTGATAGAGAAGCGGAGACGTGATTTCAAGAAAGATAGAAAGCTGAGGGATAACGGGTTGCTATATTATCGTCCAATGATCCATCATTATGATGGTAAATAACATTACTCTACACATAAACTACTCAACCAAAAATCAACATGGTTGGCATAAAAGGGATGGTCAAATGGATACAGCGCATCTCAACTATGGGTAGCCATGGAAAGTTCAAAAGCAGTCTACTAGCCTAAAGAATTAAAAAAAATTACCATAAAGAAATAGTGAAAAACAGAGAAGATTGATGGGAATTGAAGTTTAACTATATTTACTTCCGTTGTGGCAAAATCTTTTGTTCCGAGCGAAAGACGAAAGAAAGAGATCAAAACAATGATCATATGCTACCTTTCTTTTTTGTTCTACAGATTGGGCATGATTTGAGAAAAACAATCACAGTATTTGCACGGATAAAGGTGTTAGGCAGCATAATCACACTACAATTAAATTAATTATAGTTTCGAGTCTTACGACACACCATTGGCCTCGTCCTTTGTTCTTCGTTCTCTTCTTCATATTCAACATGACTATCCTCTTGGGAATTTACTTCACATGCACAAAGAAAATTAAACAGAATTTTCAATTTCCACCAAGAATCATCTGTGTTTAGAAAGAATTATGATAGGGGGGACCGACCCCATTGGACCCTTAAATTTTTTCAACTAAAAAGCCCAAATGGTAGAAAAAATAGCAGCCCATGTTTCTTGTTTCTTAATTCTTAACCAAGCTTGACCCCACTGGACCCTTACAATTAAAAAGCCCAAATAATAGAAAGGTACCTCCATAGTTCTTATTTCTTAACCAAGCCCAACTGCCCAACAATCTACAATATGTAACATTGAAAAAAAGAGGCCCACATTGTGTATTCCCTTCCCAGTTCCCTCCAATTCTCAGACCTGTGAGTGCGTACTGAGTGAGGTACAAATGCAATTTCAAATTCCAAACTCCAAAGTGCGAACCGATTCACCGTATTTTCAAAGAGGAAGAAGAAGAATTGATTGAAGAAGCAAAATTTGGCAATCAATCTCTCTTTCTTAATCTTTTTATATATGTTTTGAAAGTTATTTATGCAATATTAAGATTGGTTATGGACTAGTGGTTGGATACTGGAATTCAAAAATTGGTATTCTGATTTTGTAGCATTCCAGATGTAATTTAAGCTATTGGGTCCTTGTTTAATGTTTGCCATTAACTCATTTCATTTATCATTACCTTTTTAATTTCTATGCTGACAGTGATGGTTCATGGTTTGAAAAAGGAATGTAAATCTAAGTCATTGGATGAATTTTTAATCTGTAAGACAGTAAACATTTTTTTTGGATGAGGAAGACTGTAAACATTTGATAGTTTTCCTTCCAATAGTGTATTCCTTTTGTGATTAGATTCAGATTTTATCTAATTATTAAGGCCCTTAAATGAATATTTTCCATACGGGAGGCTGGAATCTGGAGATATGTAATATGTTGAAAAAGATGTATTTAATAAAATAGATAACGAGACTATTATATGGTGTTTTCAAAGTATGAGAAGCCGTAAGGAACATTGTAAAAAAAAGTATTTCGTTTTGAATATTATCGTTTTTGTCTACTTTGAAGTTAATTTTTATGCAATTCCGTCTCGCCCTCACTGAACCAAAGTCCTAGGTCCGCCCCTAATTATGATAAAGAATTATATCTTTTCTTGAACACGAATAATCAAGATCTGCAATCCTCAATTGTCCAATTGTCTAGCATCCAATGAAAATCCACACAGGGAACAAGATTGATAAAACTACGATTTTTTTCTTGTAATAGCAAGAATTTGAATTGTATTCTCTACAGGTTTTTAAACCCTAGCAACCTATTAATATATGTCCAAAAAGACTTGACCAATTTCTTAACTTAATTCAGCCCAATATTTAATTAATCCAATTAATTTTAAGAGAAATTTCATAAGTAAGAATTGAAGTATCAAATATTTCAAAATAAAGAAAACAAGTTTCAACTTTAAAAATCAGATAATTATTAAAATTTATTTATGATTTAATTAATTATATTTATATCACAATTTTATATAATTTGGTCACAAATTAACGATTTAATTCGTCACTTATTTTTTTGGTCAAAAATTAGAAATTTTATGTCATAAATTATTTCACGGTCACAATTCAAAAATTTTATAAGTTAGTTTGTTCATCGGTCGCAACTTATTTCTCGATCACAAATCAAAAGTTTTATAGATCACATATTATTTTTCGATCAGGAATCAAAATTTTTTATAGGTCAGTTGATTCATCAGCCACAGAATAAAAAATTTTATTGGTCACAACTTATTTATTCATTGCAAATTATTTGATTAGTTGGTCACAATTAATTTTTTGGTCATAACTTAATTAATTGTGAGTCACAGACACAATTTTTAATCAATTTATTGTTAACAAATACTCAACAGCACCACCTCACACCACAACCCCCATCTCACCCACCCTAACCTATTCCGCCACCGATGCTACCACAATCGACAACTCACCACAACAACTATCATCACTGTTGCGAACACAGCCAACAACTCACCACAACTGTCATTGTCGACGCCAACACAACCTAACCAATACTCCACCATCCCGTAGCCCCACTCCACTCCAAGTGGTGCCACCACCATCATCAACACCAATGGCGCCTCCACCATCACCATGTCCCACCATCGAATAATCCTTACACCTACAATAAGAAGAAGAAGAAAAACGCAGCGCCACTCGAATCTGGTCCAACACAAGCACTTTCTACAGCAACGTTTCCTCGAGGGTGGTTTTGAGGTTGCATACAAGATAGTCCGGCTGCATGGTGGGTATAATTATGCCGAATGGCCTTTATCTGACCGGAAAGAGCCTCAGGGAACGAACAAACTAGTGGCGATCTGTGGTGCTGCCGCCTCGGGGTCCTGAACTGGATGAATTCTTTGATTATCTGCCATTGGGAGAGAGTTCACTACAAGACCAAGCGGGCATTCCAAAGAAAAAAATATTTGGTGTATATAAAGATAGAAATGAATCCCTGCGTGCACGCAAAGTCAGATTAATGGTTCGGTTGAAGCTTCTTTTTTTTTGACATTTCATTTATTTTAACGGATAAAGAGCTCTCACCCTGACCTTCCTTATTTTAACGGTTGTGTCGCCGGAGAAAAGAAAGTGAGCGATAGATGAGATTTACGAGTTTGCTGGGTAGTAGGTAGGGTTTTGATTTTTTG